TTAGAAATAGTTGAGTGTTCACAATTCTAAGAGAAATGGTGGGAGAAGAAATGAAGAAACTTGCAAAAAGTTTTTCTGTAGCACCTCATGTCACATCACAAGCTGAGTCTTTTCTGCTGCTGCTTTTTTGTTATGCAACTGTAAATATGTGTATAATTTTACCTTGCCTGGTTACTTGGCATCTTGCAGATCTTCATTCTCTTCTCAGAGTCCTGGCACAACACATTTCATCAGGAGTGTTCCACATGTGTACCGCTAGCAAAATTTTGAACAGCATCCTAGAAAGCAGACTCAGCAGATGAGTTAAGAGGGCGTGCAACACACCAGGATCTTCCAGTGTTGGTAGTTGAGTGAGCAGTGATGATGGAGCCTGTCTGCTGTGGCTCTTACTGTCCATCAAGCAGTGAGTCCGTGTTGCAGCCTCTTCATAGGGACCGATCTCTCCTCTGCTCTGCTGTTCTCATAAGGCATATGGGAACACATCTGAAACTTACAGCACTTGTGATATTGTAGTTGGGTGGGATGTTCAAGATGAGACACACTCATGCCTACCACCTAAGTAATTTCTGTGCTCTTTAGGAAACTCAGCCTTAAAAGGACTAGTGTGATCTTTGGACATCCAGAGATACAGGGAGCTTTTTTTATGTTTTTTGTCACAACCTGTGGAGAGTGAAACAAGAATGTGGCTTCCAGTTGGGACAAACAACTGGAAACAACTTCTTTTAAAAGATTGTTGAAAATTTTTCCAGAAAAGAGCCATTAAAATGACTGGCAAACTGGAGAAAATGTTTTCCTGAGAGAGATTTCCATCTCTTTGCTTTACCAAGAAGAGCAAGAAGAGTGTAAATTATGTATATTTAATACCAGACCTTAAAAGGCTGCTCAATCTAGCAGAGAAAGTTTCCTAAAACCCGAGGGAGATGCAAGCCAGACAAGCTAAAAATTAAGAGACAAAGAAAAAGGCATGCATTTTTATTAGCAATGAAAATGATCACACATTAGGACAAGTGAATAGCTCAGACTTTCAAATCAAGACTGGCACAGCTGCTTTTCGGAAGCAGCCTCCTGCCAAGCACAGGTCATTTAGCTCAATACTGTGCTCTGTGCTGTGTAGAAGGTCAGCTTAGATGGTCTAATGGTCATATGCAGTAAAATGTTCAGAATTATTGTTAGTGACCAAGGGGAAAACACTTTCACTCTGTCACAGCATTTCACTTTTTAATTATGTGCAGAATTTTAATAATTTATACTGCTGAGTGTCCTGCTGTCTGTGACTGGAATCAGTCACATCCAACTCAGTGAATTCAATGTGGTGAGGTGATCCTGAGTTGCCTGTTTTGCTGGGACCTACTCCAGAACATGGTGTGACACTCTCTGTTCAGCCTCACCATCAAAGGTAGGTAGGTTACCTGGGGAGTGCAATCCCACGCCTGCAGAAAATGTTTGCAGGAGAAAGCTTTGATTTCCAGTGGACGTGCTGGTTTTTTAGTGAGTGAAATACCTAGAAGTCCAGCTCTGTTGGTGGGATGTCTCTGAGACCTCGAGATGAGAAGAGAGCCCTTTTCTGCAGTTGTGCTCCCTGTTGCCAGCCAATTCCCTGCAGTCATCCGTGAGACCCCCTGCTTTTATGGGCACGGCCATGTGGTTATTATTTAACACCGCCTCTTTTCAGCATTTACCTCTGTTTAGTTTGTTCTCACATCATATTTTGTTTCATTTTTCTCTTAAGTGTTTCAACTCTAACATAGCTCTTAGCTTAATGTAACATATTTTTTTACAGTAATCAGACAAGATCTTTTAAACCAGGCATGATGTGCTTTTAAAAGCACAAACGATAGCTCAAAGGCAATCACCATTTAGAGTCAAAAGGAGGAAAATACATAGGCACCTTTGAATGTTTGTGTATCTTTGCCTGTGAGACAATGTTATGAGACCACTTCTTTGGTAATTCACTTATGCCACCACTTTGGCCAAATTCTACTTTGTTTCTTCAATGTAAATCCAGGATAATCTCTTGGACTTCCACAGAGATAATTGGCTTCATCCTGATATTAACTGAAAGCAGATTTTGACCTGATTTTTTTCAGTGTGTCTCCTGCTGAAATATCCTCCCACTGAATGACGGTGTCATTATGGCTGGGGCCCTGAGTGTGCTAAACAGTTTTTTTCCTTAGCTCATATTTCCGTCACATCATGTGTGTTTGATTTACTTGCATTGTTCTTATATTTAATCTCTTCCCATTTAGTCACATTTACTGTCATTTTTTATTTGTTTAGTAACTTGGTGCAGCTCAGAAAGGTAACGGGGACAGATAGAGCGTGACAAGTTGCAAATATGTTCTGCGCAGATCTGTTCTGGGGCTGGCTGTGTTTCGGTTTCAACAGTTTGGTTTATGATGGGATGGGTTGTTTATTCAAGTGCTTGGTTTATATAAGAGCATTTAGCAGCAGCTGTAAGTGTACTATAGAGAAGTAGTTGATATGTTTTGTGTTTAATTTTACTCTATTGTTTGTGATGTCCTCCAGAAACTTCACCAAAAAACTTTGTACTGCTAGTGCCAGCGTTGGGGGTGTGGTAGGTTCAAACTGGAGAGGACCCACACAAAATTCAGCAAATCGACTGTGTTCCTCACCAGGTCTTTGGCAGCTGTGGAGGGAACCAAGTGAAAAACTGCCTCTGCTGGAGTTCTGCTGCTCTTGCCAGCAGGACAGTTTCCGAGCCCTACTCCCTGTCTGTGGGACTTGTGGACATTTTAAGATGATGAAACTGGTAATGTGGAGCTGAACTTCTCTCTCTCTCAGAAAGGAAGAGAGGCATCCTCCTGGTGATACTGCTCAAGCAGAGGGAAACAGAAGAGTTCCCTAGGAGGCAGGATTGAATGGCAGGTCTGGCAGGGGGTAGGGGGGGAGTACTCATTTATTAGTAAGCATGTTTTAAAGTACAGATCACAAGGTGTGCCAGGTTGCTGTGCTCCGGCGGCATGCGGGGCAGCAGTCCGCCCCACGTGTCTGCCTTGTGACTGGTATTAGCAGAGATGAGGCATGCCAGTTAACTTGTGTCCATGGGGAAAAGGTGTGTTTTGGTTCAGGCTTGTCTTGTACTGACTGCATTTTGTGCTTAAATTGAAAAGACAGTGCTGAGGAGGAAATGAAAATAAAAAGCAAATTCCTACTGACTGCAAGGGACTACTTGGGTAGCTGGCCAAACAAAGCATACTCATATAAATGCATCAGTATGATAAAACTTAATCTTATGCTAGACCAGAGTTTGACAAGAGTGAAAACCATTGGTACCTTGCAGTCTCGTTTCATGTGTACTTGGCTATTAATGGGACGTGTGGCCTCTGCTGGGAGGCCCATCATCAGAGGAGGGGGCGAGCAATGCCCCCCCCTGCAGCTGCCATCTGCGGACACAGGAGCAGGCCCTGATGGGTCTGGTGTGGCATGAGGAGAAGCTAGCTTTCCTCACTCTGCTTCCAGGGCACGGTGGGCTTGCTTGCATGATGGCCTGAGGGTTTCTGGCAGGTGCCAGCTGGGTCTGGTGGAGGTCTGCTCCTCAGGTGTGCTGCCCACCTAGCTGACTAGTGATGGAGGTGCCTGGGTACGTGTCTTGCTCTTCTGGCTTGCTTCAGCATTGGGCTCCCCCTGCATGCACACACGTGGGTACAAAGTGTATTTATATGCAGTGCACTTGGGTTACGTCGCCGTAGGCTCAGGGTGTGGGACACGTCTTTTTCTCATGTAGACCATAGGCCCTTTCCCCAAATGCTGGTGACAGCAATGGGGACAGGCTGTGCAATGTCTCCCCACTGCTGTTACCAACAGCACTCCATTTCCCACAGCTGTATGGCAGCTTGGAAGCAGGGGTTGGTTTGCAGCTGAATATATCCTAAATTATTGGCAGGGTTCAGTCCTGGTCCCTGCAGTTAAGCAGCCTAGGTGAGATTCATGCCTTTGCAGAAGCTGGTCTGATGCCTGTGCACCGCTATTTACTTCACTGTGTTTAGGATTTAAGTAAGTTGCAAATAGGCTTTGTCCAGGCAGGGTTAAATTTTCGTGTTTGCAAAAGCAGCTAAATGCACTGAGGTTAAATTAATCAGTAGGACCTGACTGTCTTGTACAATTTCAGCAACACAAGCTGTCAACCCTGTTCAATTGACCAGTTAAACTACCCTTACAGCTGCTTTATTTAGCTTGAACATTGCAAATTGATAATGTATTCTACAAAATTTGGTACAGTCTTTTAAATATTAAATGTTTTAATGGAAGCTTGTGCTGAAAGGAAAATGTAAAATGAGTTGAACAAAAATGTTCAAGGACTTTAATGTCTGAATCAATTGATTCTGGGCAGCAATTCAACTAAGGCTCTGTCCACTATGCTGTCTAAAACCTATGTCCATCTTTTATTTCTTTTACTTCAGAGCAATACTGTAAATTGTGCATGAGAACGAAGTTTCTGTCTTATTATAACTGTAGTATAGCACAGAGAGGGAAAGCAGTTGAACAAGTGGTAAGAGAACAAGAGAGTATGTTGCATCTAGTTGAAAGAGGGCACATATTGTTTTCTTGGATTAGGTTAATTTTAAAACTTTTTGGCTTTGGATGAGAGAGTTCAGCTATTGTTAGAGGTAGAAAAATAGAAGTGGTGTGAGGAAGGTTTGGTTCGTTTTCTGATTCTTTGTCTTCATGTTTTAAAAAAAGCAGCATTGGCTGTTATGTGTGCTCTGCAGCAGTCATCCTAGCACAATGATAAATGTCCTTTTCCCAGGTGATTTTTAATTCCATGTCTTCTTATCCAGCAAATGCACTCTCTAAATATAAATATATTAACTTGGTCTTTTTGGACAAAGCATTAATGAATGACACATGGGCACTTTGATTCTTTCCACAACATAGCCCCACTCTACAGGCAACCCCCTTTGTGTGGCTGTAAGCACGGACCACGTCCTGTCCTGGCCTTGCAGCTCACTTCTGACCTCCGTTTTGTCTTCTTTTCACAGTTGTGCAGCACATCAAGCGTCACAATATTGTTCTTAAAAGAGAACTGGGAGAAGGAGCCTTTGGGAAAGTCTTTTTGGCAGAATGCTATAACCTCTCTCCTGAGCAGGACAAGATCCTGGTGGCAGTGAAGGTAAAAATGTCTAGGGTCTCCATTATTAATTCATGGTTGCAACTAATGCTATTTTATTTGTAAATGATTGTGTTTGCCTATTCTGTAGCCCAGTGTAACTGCTTTGATATATGTGGAAGGGTTCACAAGGCTAATGGAGTGTTAAGAGAATGTGATATTTGGTCTTGCTGTGGATTATAAAATGAGAGCTTAATTTCATAAGGAAAAGGGGGGAAAACCACTGTGTCACAAAGGGGCAGAATCTTTTACGATCTATCTAAAGTATAATTAGTGAAAAAGAATGTCTAGGTCATTAAAAATACATGTGGCATGTATGCATGTCTCGAAAAATTATCTATTACCAGTGAAGTGAATAGGTTATGTGTGTAATTGCTAGTCAAAGAAGGCCCCTCTTTTTCAGGATTGTGCCATTCTTTTAGTCAGTCACTGAAATGATCTGAGGGTAATTGTCATTAATATAGCTGATAGGAATGTTGTAACGATTTTGTGGATAATATTGTCATGTGCTGTTACACACTGGGTGTATGGAAATCTAGAAGTCATGATATGTCAGACCTGGAGGAGTGATTCTTGATCCAGACAACTCTCACAAAATACAGTTCAGAGGAGGAGGAAACTACATGAAAACAGCCATAACCTTGGTGTTCCAAGTATACAGAATAGTTTTCACATTTCTGAGAAAGAAAAAAGAGAGACATTTGTTTGGGCACAAGCTACGTGGTACCTTGGGAATCTACAAAGGAATAACAAGATTTCCAGCTTGATCTCAGAGCTCAGACACTAAGCCTGCTTTGCCATACCAAGCCTTTTCACTCTCCAACATGGAAAGGCTGAGGTTGGTTGTCAACTTCAGCTATGGATGTATGCTAGAAAACAATATCGGTGAAACTACACTCTAAGAGTTTGCAAAGTCTCCCTGGCAACAATCTCTTATCCCCATGTGTGTTCTGCCAAAAGTATCTCATTTGAAGTATCTCATTAAATTCAGGGGGAATACACATTTAGAATTCGGGCTGTGCCTAGGGATCAGAAAATAATTTTATCTGACTAGTCACAATTAGGCAACCATGTGTACATTTTGGATCAAAGCATACAGTAAAAGAAATTGAGTAGATCATCGTCTTGAATTTGGAAACAAGAAATAGTTTTGGATCTGGCAGTGAGAGAACATGAAAGGAGGATGGACTTGTAAAGTGCTTTCTTGCTCCACCAAAAATAACAAGTTTTGGGGGTTTACTAAGGTTATAAGCTTTTAGATACTTGGGAGTTGTTCAGTCACATTGACTAAGAGAGAAAAAATTAAGCCCTGAAGGGATATATCATAGACAGGAGAAAGTAAGAGATAGGAGATGACAAAACTAGATCTGAATGAATTTTCTGTTGTCTTTTGGTGAAGCTAGAGTGGAAACTGCCTTTCCTCTATCACTTCAGGGAACTGCTTGATAGCAAAAAAAAGTCTTTCCATTCACTTGCTCCCTTTGAAAGTCCTGACCAAATGGAGCATAGCACTTTTGCTGTTAAATGCTGTGCAACACTCACTTTCTGCTGCTCTTTCTCAGTGTAATTCACAAGGAAGAGCATTCAGCCTTTAAAGGAAAAGATGTGTCCATGGGTTTAGATGACAAATATATCCATTTTCTGGACCAATTGTCATACTATTTTTTTTTTTTTAACAAACCCACTCTTTGTATTGTTTTTAATAAATATCTTGCAGGCAGCTGTGGGAAGAACTAGCTCAGGGGACAGGTTGTGCCCACTTTATGTTTCTCATAACATAGAGAAGATGTGTCTGGCTACCATCAAAGAGATAATTTTTTGGCAAACTGTGCCATTGGATTGATCTCCATATAACTGAGGTGTTAATTGCCTGGCACTTCTCTCTTTCACTGTGGTACCAACCGTAGCTCACAGGTGTCCTTCAGTCACAGTGGAGGTCAAGGGATAGCACTGCACCAATGTGCAGAGAGCTAGCCAGAGGACCATGTCCACACCCCACCGCTGGGCACAGGTTTGGCAGTGAAAATGTGTGGTTTGTTATTTTTTTTTCTAGTCTTAGAGGAGCAGACCTGGAGGGCAGCTCATCCTGGCACACAGCAAGGGCTTTAGAGACCTTCACCCCCCTGAGCAAAACCACAACACGCCTGTCTCTCTGAAATAGATTTGGTGAGCCCAGTGGGAATATGTACTTGGTGAGGAGTAAGGTGGTGCGAAGGGGAATGGGGAGGCAGGGTCTCACCTGCACGGGGTGGATCAGGATGGCTGGTGGTCCCCAATGGCTGCCTGTGCCTGCTGGTTGCTGGGCAACTGCACGGCTCACGCTTGGCCCTGAGCATCACTGTCTGACTCAACACGCATCCTTCTCCTTTTTGGGCCGGCCAATATCCAAAATGCTGATGTTGCTGCAGCAAATTATTTAAGAGCTAAGAGGCACAGAAAAATCTGGGAAGATATAAAATCAGGCTTAGCATAAACAACCTAAAGTGCTTGAGCTTTTACTCCTTGGAAGAGGAGAAAGACAGTCCATTTAAATTGGGTTTGACCAGCAGGCTTTTTGTTGGGAGCACTGAGTGTTCAGAAATGCTTTCTGTGGGTCAAACCCTGTAAGCAGAGAGCTTAATCACAGGTTAAGCTGGTTGCATGGGCATTGTACTACCCTTCCCCCCGGATGAGTTTGTATGTCACATCAGTACATCATTTGCTGCGTGCACTTTTAAAGAACAGAGGGTGGAGGAAGGAAAAGTTATCATTTCCTTGCAGGCCATTTTGCCATGCCACAGTGCTTGTTCAGGCCTGGATCAGTACTGCATCTTCATAAGGTTGGATCCCTAGGCATAGTCTTGCACTAGTTTAACTTGGCTGGAGCTGGAGGTGAGGATGACTCTCATGGCACAGGTTAGCAGCTGCCTCTGGCTCCCCTGGGAGGTTGGAGGGAGATTCACTCTGTGTTGTGGCAGGGTTGTGCTCAGCTAGCAGACTGCTATGTGTGTAAGGTGAGGAACATTTCCACAGCACCTGCAGAGGAAAACCAGAGGCTTCCAACTCTTTGGATCTCCAGTTCAGAGAAGGATCAAAACCACCCCTTCATTTCTTGAGGAAATATACCATTCAGCTCTTGTATGGTAATTGGCAGCAGTAATAAGGATTTCATAGGGGGAAAGCTGAAACAGTATAAAAGACAACTGTTGTTGTAGTTTCATTACCAAGTCACGCTTGGACTAGGGAGCTGGTGGTTTGCACTCACTACAGAGCACATGCCTGCAGAGACCAGATGGTACGTGGATACCTGGGCAGGGACTCTGTGGAGGAGAATAAGCATGGGGTGGCATCCAACTGTCAGAAAGGTGAACTCAGCAGGTGTGGAGTGCCTGTAACAGCCAGGGCATCTCTCTGTTGCCCAAGGGAGTGTGTCCCTCCTCCTTAGCTGCTGGCCTGGGTGGTTGAAAAGTACATGTGGTTGTATCTCAGTTCCTACTTGGGAAAAACTATAGACTGGTGAGAGTGCTCTGTATGCAGAGCTTTGGCGTACTTGTCAGTAATGATAATAATAATGAATATGTCTCTTTGTCTCTTTGTGTTCTTACAGTTTTATTTTGGTTTTATTTTTTCTCTTGCACTGAGAACAAGCTAAATGCATTAGTCAATGTCATTTCTATGTAAATTCTACATACTTATTAATTTTTTCACTTTCCAGTCTTCTCCTTTCCTGATGGTGTCAGCCATCTCTCATGCATCATGTCTATTCTATGCACTGCATGAAATAATGAAAAGGGGGTTTTGCAATGGTGCGTGACAAAAATTCAAGTTGCTGCTTGGTAGCAGAAACACTGCCTGAGTTTTACCTGGTTTTTAGACCTTTCTGCATTTTGTTGTTTGACAGAAAATGTGTAATTGCCATGGCAACTTCTCTGTCATATGATAATTTGCTGTTTCTGTGAGATAAAAAGCGTCTTCTGAAGTATACAACATGCCATCCTCACAGGGCAGAGCTGTCAGCATTTTTACTGTCTTTCCAGCTAGATCCTGCTGGAAAGAATATCAACCTATGCTTCTCCCTGTCACTTTTTCCAGGTTGCTATTATTTAAAAATGGTTTTTATAGGAATTGTTTTTCTAATTTTGTTGTTGAGAAGAATTACAGTCAAATTGCTTTATACATGAAACCACCAGAGGAAATTCAAGTGACAGCAGAATTGTTCCCAGTGATTTCATTACATAGCATAGATTGGACTGTGGGTTGGTGCCTGTATCATGTTAAAGCATCATCCCAGAGCCGGGAAGCATTGGAAGACATTTCAATTTCAGTCCTTGCTCGGTTCAGAGGTTATTGTGCAGGATCCATAGTGGGGAGCCAATTTGATATCCCCCCTAGATGATACAGCTGCGTATACTAATTTATTATAGCTTGTGAAGCTCTGATGATGCAATATTCTTGTTGCAACATTATTTGTAAAACTAGTGGAAGTAGAGTTCTAGGCCTGAAGACACATGAAATTCACAAGTAGGTACCTCAGGGAAGGGGCATCTGTGGCATGAGTGATTTCTATTGCCTGTAGGATCTGTAGACACTGAAATCCACAGGGAAAAGCCCCTGAACTTGGTAGATGGCTATCCAGTCTGCCCTGCTTCTTGTCCCGCCATCTGGATCTTATTATAGTAGCTGTTCATTTTTCAAGACCTGTGATTACAGTTTCACAAGTAAAGCGTTTTCTCTGATGGTCATCTTTTAGTCCCTTCTTCATGCACTAGAAAAGTGGACAGAATTTTCTCTGTTAAAAAAAAACTTTGAGCAAGCCATGACTACTGCAGCTAAAATGTGGGTTTGTTGGCAGAATGATTGCTTAGTATCAACTTGTTCTGTGTCTGTTCTGATGAGTGTGGTTGGTCCCCATGCTATGTATATGAATTAAGGGTAAAAAATACAGTGACTAGATGGCCTGAAAAGAAGCATTTTTAGTTAAAACAATGCTACTACTTTTGTGTCTCATCTTTTTATTAAGCCTAGATGTTGTTAAAATCTGGAGGTGCAGAGTCCAAACATCAATTTCTGTGAATAATAATTTGTGAACATTGGTAACTTGCTATCTTACTGTTTTAAAAATATTGTTCAAATTAGTATAGTGCAACCACTGTACCTTTTGAGGGTAGAGCCTAGTAGTGGTTTATTGTCAATTATAATTATTCCTCATTTAATTGGTGTCAGAATTTGCTTTTTTTAGTGCATGAAAGTGCTTCCTTGCTCAGGAAGTGTAGTTCTTAAGAAGAGATCTGAAACTGCCTATGTCTGGCAGCTAAATTAGCATTATTTCATTATATAACATTTAAGCCTCCTATTTGATCCAGTGTTGATATATTTCCTTCAAAATGAAAATATGCAAGAGTTTAGAGCTGTATAAATAAAAGGGAGTGAGAAAAATTGACACCCCAGAATTCTGATCTGCATTTATTTCCTCTCTGTCTATCAACTTAGGATGGATCCTCCAGTTACTTATACATATGCTTAATCTTAGGCACATGATTAGATTTACTGAATTTCAAAGGAGTTTCTGGCTGAAGTCTCAGGTTGTAAGTTCTGGTCCAGGGACGCACCCTTGCATAAATCTACCTAATGTATAGCACACCATAGGGGCCAACATCAGCAACAGCGACATTAGTAATACATAAGGAATGCATCTACATTCCCACTAAGTATTTTAAGCAAGCAGAGTTTTATTTTAAAGAACTTACAAGAAAGGTAAATACTAACAGGATGCTAGGGTTTGCCTGAGTTAAATGCTAAAGGATATGGACCAGCTGTGTACTAGTATATTTTTTGGATAAGATCAGTTTATTTGTTCTGTGTTTGGCACAGTAAGATCATGAGTATTCCTACATCCTCTTACAAGAAAAATTGTTGTTTAGGATGACATGTGGCAGGAGAATGAAAATTGTACTGCTGTTATTTAATTGCACTTAAACGTCACATCTGCATTTCTAAAAGAGCTATTAAGAAAGTGCTTCCTCTACCCTTTATGCAGCAGAGTGTCTTTATCTTACCCTTACAGTGCCATCTGACATGTTCACTACCTTCTGCAAACATCTCCCCTTACATTTTTGTTTTCCTCACCAGACACTGAAGGATGCCAGTGACAACGCTCGCAAGGACTTCCACCGCGAGGCAGAGCTGCTGACCAACCTGCAACACGAGCACATCGTCAAGTTCTACGGTGTCTGTGTTGAGGGTGATCCGCTCATCATGGTCTTTGAATATATGAAGCACGGGGATCTTAACAAATTCCTCAGGTAAATCCATGAACATATACTGTGCAGGAGAGCCAGAAGTGGGCAGAGAAGGTAGGTGTTACTGGTACTTAATGTCAAATTAACTGCTACCACTGGAAAATACCAACACCTAGGAGTGCAAACCTGTGCAACTCTCGTCTTCTGTACTGGGATATGGGGCTCATTGTTTCTTTGCCTATTTGGAAGTACCATTAAGTCAAGCCTTACGCTTTGCACCAAAGGAGTGGGAACCAAAAAACCATTGTTTTCAATATATTCCAGTGTATACTGAAATGTTTGGTTATAAATCTTACACTAGGCATACTGTATATTGATATACAATTTTCTTGCAGGCTTTCTGGTAGCATTTGGGAAGATCCCACTCAACACCTATAGCTAACTGTAGGCGTCTAAGAGCTTTTGAAATCTAACCCCTTTTCTCTTCCCTCCTCTCAGTGTTTTGGAAAGACTGCCATTAATCTGAAGCAAGAAAACTGTGAGCCATGGAAACTTCAGTGCAATGGAAAATGCTACATCTTGGGGTCCGGATTAGGGCTTTATTTCATAAAGCTGTTCAGGAATTTACATCAGAAATTGAAATTTGGCAGTAAAGCAGTCATAAATAAGTAGATTATACCTAAGGTTCACAATAGTAGGTAACTGATGAACCAGGAAGTTATGAACAGTGGCCTTGTGTCTGTGCCATTTCCACTAGCCTGCACTCATTGACATAAAAATAAGCAGTTAAGAGACAGCTTTTGCTCCTATGTACAAAAAATTTGCATAAGGGACTGTACTTTCAAGGTCTTCCATGTGATTTTCATCAAAGGATATCACAAAGGCATTTCAATGTACTGAGATCTCTCCTGCTGA